CACGACAGAGGATCTCATCAAACACTACAACTGTGGGGACCTCAGCTCTGTCATCTTCAGCCATGACAGCTCCCAGGTGAGGGCCTTTGTCCTCTGCCCAGCTCAGCATGCATTTAAATACAAGAATAAAGACATTACCTGCTTACACCTAGACATCTGTGTACAAAGGAACAAGGTCATGAGGGGCCTTAAAAATAAAATTGGGCCAAGTTAGATGTTGAGTGAGATGTTGCAGCTAACAAAGCTATTCTTTATGAAACTTAAGAACTGAGAGGGGCATTGATTAAAGTTAATTCCAGGATCCCAGTCAAAGGATAAAGCTTCAAGGGATTCAGCAGCAGGCCTCATGGCATAGACATCAGGCAGCATGATACCACTCTCACAGAGGGGAAGGGACTGAGTCTGAAAGCCCCTGGCTGACTTAGGTAACACCTTTGAGAAATGATGGAACAAAACTTTTTCTGCAGTTTTTAGTGGCTTCTAGGAACGTGTGAGCATGATGAAACTGAAGTGTCCATGGTATTCTTACAGAAGTGGCACATAAGAGGCAGAGAAGGCTACCAGCATTTCCAGACATGGATTCCATCTTGCAGTATTGCAGGGTATGTCTGATCTGTGCAGTGAGTGTATACACAGGACAGGTTTTACCTGTGGGCCATCAAGGGGAAGAAAGTAGCTGGTCAGAGCTCAGAGGATTGCAAATTCTCTAGAGGAGGGAGGTAGGATGGATATTTGTTATGCTTTTATCAACAAAGTTCCATGAGACAAACCATGATTTCTCTGCCCTCTGCTACTAAGGTCATGTAGAAGTGTCAAGTGCTGGCTAAGCTTCCGAGATAAGGAAGTGTGTTTTCGCCTCATGCAGGACCAGTGTCCTCATACAGAAGTACGCTGGAGAAAGAGAAGGGAGCTGGTGGGTATGCGTGACGCTATCTAGGTCTCTTAGATGTGGGGACCCTGTCATAAGGAAATGTGAGTGAATATAAGAGGTGAAAAAGGAATGACAGCCCTGGGGAAAGGGACAATAGAGGCTGAATCCAGCATTGCCACACAAATGTCAAAAGACATAATGAGCTTTCTAGAGAGTCTAGAATGGGAGAAAGTGAAACCAGAGCAAAGCAAGCAAGAGGAAAGGGAACACAGAAATACACTAACAAAGAAATAGTTCTTATGTGTACTCTTGGTGGGAGTGAGGGAAGTGGGGAGAAAGGTCAAGATTAACTGGAAAATTAAAATTTGAAGCAGTAGAAAAAAGTTAGCATGGGTGGGGGATTTGGAAGTTATGTGGGCAAATAGTAAGGCTGATGGAGCAATTAGAGAATAGATGTCTTATACATCTCTTTCCTTTGGCTCCTCTGTACCTGTCCTGCGCAGGGCCTTGCAGGTGGTGTGGGGAATGGGGAATGTGCCTGCCATTGAGGAATGAGGGCCAGGCTGGCCAGGGCTGAGCGGTGCGGGTTGTAGGTCATGTTTGGCATTTAGAAGGTAGAGCAGGATGGCAGTGGGACTTCTCCCCGCATCCTCTGGGCACCTGTGTGGAACGACTGGTACAAAGGGAAGTGCTCTGCTGAAGAAAAGAGATTTTGGGAAATGGACAGGAGAATCTTCCATAAACGACATGATAAAAAAAAAAAAAATGATAAAGGAGAAGATAAAACTTTTGATTTGAAAACAAAAGATATCTCTTTAAGGAAATAGCAAAAGGAGATATGTTATCCATAAAATGGAAATTTTATAAACTGTTATAGAGTGTGAGGATGTATGGAAGGTCTTTGAAAGGCTACTGGAAATAGGAGAAGTAGGCAGGGTAGATAACCTACATTGCGTTTGACTAAGGTAGTGGTTAACCATGTTAAATCCCTCGGTAGAGGAAAGCAAACCCAGGATAAGGGGTTGGGAGGCCGAAGACTGGGGAGCCAGACGGCTGACAGGGTGAGGAAAGAACTCAGTGTCAGCTATGCTGACAGCCTCTGGGTTGCAAGAACCACCCCTGTGTCACAATTTTGGGGTAATAGCACCCTGCTGTGAGCCAAAATACTGAAAGTGGCTAACACGTGTACCAGAATCAGGTGAAATATTTGCCAGGAGGGCAAAGAACATTGGCAAAAGCAAGAGGGAAAAATAACGAACATTTAAACGTATGGAATTTATAAAACAATTGCATGTTTATAGAAATTTCACGTATTTGGTAGAATTGTAATTATTGATTCTAAAGTATTTAACTATGTAAAGTTATTTTTATTTAAAAAAGCATGTGTGAATTAAACAAATTAAAACTATGGATGTACTATGCACAGTTATGGTTTCCTTATATAAACACACAGCATCAAACACTTAAATGGAACAGAGATACTGTTTTAAATAGCCAAAGAGTTCTTTAAGTGTACTTTATTTAAAACATTTCACTTGGGTTACAGAGGATGATATTACAGTTTGAAAAGTAGCAAGTGGGAGACTCCAAGAACGGTGTGTTATTCTTCCTTCGTCTCTTGACAGCATCTTGACACTCTGGGCTGGGTGATTTTTATTTTTTTATTTTTTATTATTATTTTTTTAGGCGACGCAACCTTTGGTTGACCTCACAGATTGCAAGGACCTTGTCAGTTTACAATCTCTTATTTTTTATGCCTACAGCACCTGGTCTTCCTAGGTGGTCTTCCATCCAAGTACTTACCAGGCCCGACCCTGCTTAGCTTCCAAGATCAGATGAGATCAGGCTTGTTCAGGGTGGCATGGCCGTAGATTAGGCTGGGTGATTTGATGCTCAAATTAAGCAAATTCATTCATAACTCTGTTGCCCTTAATTTTATCTTTTTATTTTGACGGAGGTTCCCAATTTTATTAATTCCACGCTACAACCTCAGGAACGCATTACTGCTCAGGGGATTGACAGCTACTTCCACCAGGAACTTATCTACAAGCGGAATGAGAGAATGGGGAAGCGGTGAAGGCCGTTTTGGAGGAATTGTCTGACAAAGGCTTTTTCCTCGCCTTTGGAGCCGGTGAGTTGTAGGCTACCTCTGATTAGACCCTGCCTCTGATGCTTCTCCCATTAAGGAAATGCTGAGATGGGTTCCTGGTAGCAGGTGACATGAGTAACACCTTTAACTTTTTGCAGTTGCAAAGTAGCTCCAGGTGGTGCCTGAGTATCCAGCAAGGTTGAAACATTGCTGGAAGGGCTGGTGCATGTGACATCATCTATAGTTCTCTCTCCATGTGGGGCTCCTGATACACTCCCTAGCTAGGAAGGCATTTCTCTCTCTTCTAAATTCATTTAATCCTAACTTCTTCCTGACACCTTTCACTTTTTTAACTTCCACTGAAATTTGTCTGTCTTCTGTCTCTTACCTGACTATGAGCCTCCCCAGTGAAAGGCTCGAGGCAGACACATCAGCTTTTATTATTAACAGTATACATGAACACGGATTGGGAAAATTATTGCCTTTTGTGGCTTTTTGAAATATTTTTTTTCCTCTTCTCAAGTGATTCTGTCACAGCTTTGTAGCCTCTGGGATTAAGGACAGAAATTCCAGAAGCTGGATGTGTGCAAAAGGAGAATTCGCTGGGCTAGGCTTCCTCCTTACAATTCTTCAATAACTTCAAAAATGTAGACAAGTCACCTCCCTCGGTTCTTTTTTTTTTTACTAGTAAAATGGGGCCTGGAGAGAAGCACTTGCAGAGTGAGTAATACAGCATCATCTCCTGATCTCAAGATCCTTAGCTTAATGACATCTTCAAAATAATTTTTTTGGGGGGGCATGTAAGATAACATTCTCAGGTTCCAGAGATTTTGGGAGACTATTAATCAGCCTGCCACAACATCTGAAAATCAATTAATGTAAATAAACTAAAGGACAGGAACCACCTAATTATCTGTAGATGTG